TCAGAGTGAGCCTGAGTAAGTCCATGCATGGGCCCTTTAAGAGGAACTACCTTGGACTCCAGCAGCCTTGGTGTCACTCAGCCACAATCCCCAGATCTGGGGACTTCTCTTCTTGGCACTGGAACCCTGGGCTGAACATCTGGTGTGGGGTTGGAACCCATCACTCTTAACAAGGCACCTCCACATCCAAGATAGACATCCCGATTAAAAACCACCACAGGTGGGTGTGGGACCAGCCCGTCCGCCTCCGCACCTCCTACCAGTCTCAATGTTGCTTCTTCTTTAATTTCCTAGTTGGAGGACTTCCATTCAGCCATATTTCAGGTGGTTCTGAATGATGGTTTTTCTGTAGTTTAGTTGTAATTTTGATGTGGTTGTGGGAGGTGGCAAGTACTCCTTTAACCTATGCTGCCATCTTGACCAGAAAATTCTTAATTTTGCTATAAAAGCATTTTATATTGGATAAATTCCTAAATAATACTCAATAAAAAATAAATTAATCTCATTTATAATTTTTCTCTCAAAATATAAGGTATAGTTAAATTAAATAAAAATATCATTTTCAAAATTAGCATTTTGGAAATAATATTTTTATACTATGACTATGTAAGACAGTATGTGGCATACATGTGTGTGTTTAGAGAGTACTTGGGCACTGTGAAATTCCTTGAATGTACAGATGGAAGTTTATATTGATTTCAGTAAAGACCAGAACATAATGGTAACATGAATAACAGATAATTCCATCTGGCACTTTTAACATTTTAAGCCCTGAAATCTTTGGAGAACTGATCACTGAATGAAACTGACAGCCGTAGTTATTTCTCAGCACTTTCCTTCTGAGATATTTTGAGTTTTTTCCAGATTCAGAATTTTTTTAGGGAGCATCTGGACAGGTTATTTCACTGAGAGAGGCTGACAATATTTTCTGAAAATTACCACCAAAATTAAGCAACTGTTGTGCATATGAGCCAGATAACAATGAATTAGAAATAACTGCTCAATTTCTGGTTGCATGTGTGTACATGTATATGTGTCATGTGGGGTGGGGGATGGGGACATGGTGGAGGTAGCAATGGGAGGGATGGAGGTGTGGGAGCAGGAACAGACTGCAAGCCAGTGCTCAGAGTATCACCTGGGCCATGTGCAGCCATCCCAGGAAAGGCCATTGGAAATGACAAGCAGGACCAGTTCCTTGCTTGTGTGGTCACATCCTGTAGATGGAGCCTGCTGTTCTGAGAAGCACATAGACCACTGTTGCCTCCACCAAACTTGCCATGTACTGTTTCTTCATTATTCTATTTTTTTTTTTCCTTGCTAATTTTTTTTTTCAATATTCTCTAGTTGTCTCCATTTGGTGAGTTTTTTTCTCTTTTGTTTCCTCTCTATTTTCCCTCTTCTCCTTTGTCTTTGCTTTAGGGAAGCCCAGGCTCCCTAAATGACTACTTAATGACTGCACAACCAAGGATCAACATCTTTACTCCTTTGCACCTCAATTTTCTCTTCTAAATTTTTTATAACAATCCTGCTTCTCTGTATAAAGATCTCAGTATAAAGATCCCTTATCTTTATTTTTACTGAACATGGTTTCCCTCTGTTACCTTTGCAATGAGGACATTGATTGCAATCTACCTTTTCAAAATAATACCTTTTCATCTTCAAGATTCAGAACAGGACGTGAAAAATACTCTCTACTAGTTGATTACCTTGTCATGGCTAGAGGAACACAGAACAAAAGGTGAGGAAATGTACTCGGGGGTACAGGGATCCAGAAGCACTCTTTCCTGTGCCTGTTCCCATTGGCTGTGGCTTCCACAAGCAACAAGTCACTCATGCAAGATACTGTGGCAATAAGCATTAAGCTTAAAAAATATTTTGTCATCTCAAACCTAGGGCAAGCTCTTGACTCCAAGAGCTCACTTAGTATCTTCAAGTTCTTTATCACGAATGACATTGAGTTTCCACATACTTTCTAAATTCCATATTTTAGATTATTTAGGTTGCAAACTGTAGAAATAAAAGTCTGTACTATCAGACCTGAAGTAAGTAAGCCATTCTAGAAAGAGTAGGAATCTAATCTAAACAAATCCATTTCCCCCCATGAATTTTCCAGAAAATAAAACATGGTCATAGATATATAAGCATTAGATAAGAACATACTGTTGCTGAATTCATAAGGCTGCCAAGGTGAATTCAGATATTTTTTAGAATTTTCAAAAAATAGAGATTGGAAAGTAAAGACAAACTATTGTTATAAGGTCTCATTTTCTGACCTAGTGATAAGAAGTGTAGCCAAGGAGGTCCATGGGGTACTCACTAGCCCCCCCAAATGGATAGAGTTTCTCAGCATATAAAAGGTACATAGTTGACATTGTTGCTGAGGGCGCAGAATTATAACCAATGCCAAACACAAGACCCTAAATGCAAATGAGAGCCCACTTGTCTGAAGTTTGCTTCATTATGACTCAAGACTGGATCTGTTTGTCTGACTCTGTATGAATGGAAAGATGTCTGGGGAAATGACCATAGTCCATTTACACCATGGTCACAAGGATGAGGACAGAAAGCCTAAGTCCCACCCTGCACATGGCCTTAAGACGCTTTCAAACATGGTGGGTTTCATCCTAGCAGGATTCATCCAAGAATAAGAATGCAGTTATGCTTACTTTGCAAAGCACTGTCCTTCACATGATATATGACTTCTACTGAACCCCCATCAACAGATCTTGTAACTTGGATTAGGATTCCTATTAATGGTGGGAAAGGCCACAATCCCATCAGCAATCAACTGTCTGGAGACCAAGCAGGCTCGTGAACTGGAGGTACCTCCCCTCTTTTCTAAAGCTGACTTGTATGAAGTGGGACTGAATCAACAAACCTTTCAAAAAAATTTATCTTGATTGTTGAAAATATTACAGATGTGTGCCCTTTTCCCCCATTGACCCCCACCCCAATTGTGCTTGTGCTTGATCAGTTAACATAAATATCAACAGATTTCTGGGTTATAAAAATAGATAGAAGCTAGGTGTGACTTCTGTTCTTGTGCACAAGCCTGAAGTGGCAGGAGGGCCTGTGGTGGAAGGAACATGTTTGCCAGTTTGTGGTCATTGCTGAGCTAAACCAGTTTTTTATTCCCTACGTGTGTCAGTTTTATATTTATTAAAGTCAAATATATATTATTTTAAGAAACCGATCTTCTAAAATACGATTATGATATATTAAGACCATCTCTCAATACTTGAGATGCATTTTTTAAAAGCCAAGCAGAATAAGATGAGTAAGTCCAGCATGACAGAACCTAACCAGGAGCTGCTGCTGCTGTATAAAGTTCCCTCTGCATTCCTGGGATGATGTGTGTGCTGTTGACACAGAGCACCTTGGGTCCTGTGGGGGCTCCTCCAAGATTTGGTCCCCAACCATGCCACAGAGACTTGCCATTCCTTCCAGTCCACCTGTGTGCCCGCTTGCACTCCATGTGTCAGTGCTATTTGTCGTGTGTCGGTTCTCTTACTAGACTGAGACACACATGGTGGAAGAATGTCCTATTTGGTACTGCGTCCTTAGGACCATCTTACTGCCCGGACACAGAGATTACTGCTGGTGAGTGTGTGCTCCAGGAAGGAAAGGGGGGGGGGGAGGAAGAGGAGAGAGGGAGATCATCCCAATCTGCGATCACTACTGTTTATGTTGACTTATGCTCTGAGATGTTAAAGCATATGCTGAAATCAAGTTAGTCTTTCCCGAAAGTCTCTGAACATCAAAAACCTGAGAAAGGTGATGCACACTTCCAAAGAGAATGGCTATTTTAGTTCTTTAAACATATAAACTGGCAAGTATCAATAACTTTCCTGCCAAACAAACAAAAGAGAATCACTTACTGTAATAATCAGGGTCACATTTGCAGTGATATAAAGTCTAAACCACAGAGGGATCTGGCCATGAATCCTTATGAACAACACTAAGTCATGCTAATTAGGCCAAGCCAGGTGGCTCAAACTATGGGGACGAAGGCTACATGAATTCCTGCACAGTCACAATATCTGGCTTTCAGGAGTAAAACCACCTCCAAGAAAACCAAATACGTGAATGCATCTTCTTGACTTTGGGATTGAGACAACTCAGCCATCCAGCATTTGTGATCCAGCACCATAGCAATGACTCTTCCCAGCCATCCCTCTGGATCTTCAGGGTACTGGTTCCAGGACCCCCCCCCCCCAAGTACCAAAATCCATGGATGCTCAAGTCCCTTATATAAAATGGCATGGTATTTGCATATAACCTACACATATCCTCTTGTATACTTTAAATCACCTCTAGATTACTAATAATACCTAATAGAATATAAATATAATGTAAATAGTTGTGATACTGTATAGTTTAGGGAATAATGACAAGGAAAAAAGTCTGTACATATTCAGTATACCCGCAATCATCATAGGTTTAACTACATAGCACATGTCAGCAACAACATAACTTTTCCCTGAATATTTTCAAGCTGTAGTTGGTTGAATCTGTGGATGTGAAAACTGTGGATACAGGAGGCCGACTGCACAGTTTGCTAACATAGCTCCTTCACAAAACCAAGGAATTACATTTGACATGATTCTTATTTGTCCCTGAATTGATTTCATCTTCTTTTTTCTGGTTCAGAAAGAATTTGTAAGCTGGCGTATCAGTGTTGAGTGATACATTGTTCCTTACAGGTGGCTGTACCTGAAGGAATAGATTATGTAGTCTCTTGTGCAGTACCCACAGTTGTAGCCATAATGGGGATAAAATTCACAATAACAACGTATCATTTAGGTAAGTGACAGGGAAAGTTGTATTCATTTATAAATTTCCTCTAAAACTTATAATCATCACTCTACCAAAATATAAAACAAGGTACAGAATGATGTATGTTATTTGAACAGGAATGTGAAAAATAATCTAAGGGAATAAAAGCTAATAATATTCTCTGATCATGCTATCTTAAATTTATTGACATATTGAAACGATACCTCTTTCTCCTCCTCTGTCTTCCCATGAGTTTTGCTATAGTTGATTGGAGCATCCCAACCCTCTTGGTCACAGAGAGCCTGATAGAACGCTGCATTGACCAAAATGCTGCTTGTTTTGAATGGGGAAGATGAAGGAGTTGGAATAGAAGTGTTAGAGGAAGTTAGGGGTGCAGCTTTGTCCGGGATTCGATTTTTTTTCATGCTTAAGTCCAATGTGCCATTTTCATCCACTTCTATCTCGGCTCCCTGGTATACATAGGAAACAGAAAAACATTTAAGCAGTTTGCAGTTAGAGCCTAGCCATGTGGGGCTTTTAAGGGATAATTTTAAATGCAAGCTTTTATGTAAGCATATCTGATTTTCAAATCTAGCTTTCTGATTTGCTTTGATTAATGTTCAATTCTTAGGTAGACTTTTAAGAGGCCCCATCAGCGAGCTTCATGTTGCTGGTTACGCAGAGTAAGCCTGATATAAATAAGAAGCTCCAAATACCAAATGTATTGGCTAAACCTGTTACTCATTTTTAAAAGTTTAGCTTTAAATCTTCTTTCCTAGTTTGCAGAATTATCACTCCCAATTCATCATTTAAAGCATTAATGCTTGACTCTATAAAAAGGCACAATAGTACTCCACTTCCCCAAATCACAATATTAATCTAACATGAGAAATATGCAGAAATAACCAGCTGGAAGAGAATTTTTATTGGAATATTAGATTAATATGAAACCAGCATTTTACCCTGGGTTACTTGAACCAGAAAAGCTTTGTTAAACTGTGGGGGGCAGGTTGGGGCAGGCAGACATGCAAACCATAATTTATTCTGGGGGCCATGGGGTAGCAGCTGCCCGCCTGACAGCTCAGGGTTTCAGTTTGACAGTAACAACTTCAGAATAAAGGTGATTGCTTTCCAGGTACTTAGTAAAAGACGTGAAACTAATCTCCTCATGACATTTCCTTTTGGGACACCTCTGGCTAAGGTTTCTTTGTTTTGTTTTTGAGGTCCACATGCCCGTGTGTTCTGGATATTCTGCAAGGTACATGCTCTGGGCTGTTTTTTTATGGCATCATAAATTGTGAGCATTGCCAGGCAGTAACTCCCAGAATTTGGAAAGAACACGCTTGTCATTTTCCTAAGTGGGTCAAATGAATATCGTTCTGGCGTTTTCACCATCATCCGTCAACTCACATTTAACTTCTGAACAACTTCTCTACTCTTTTTCCTTTACACCGACAAAGCAGGGGTCTCCCTTGAATATGTTAGAAAGATGCCTAACGTGGGTGGTAGCCAGTTGCTTCCCAGGGAATTTATTTTAATTGCCCGCTTCCACTGTGCCTTCACCTCCCCGCAGCCCCACCTGGCCCCTCGGCGGCCACTCAGGAGTGGGCCACACAGCAGCGGGCTCACGGGTTGCTCACGGCTTGCCCCTGATATTGAAAATAAAAGAACTTCTTCTGTTTGCCTGTTCTACCTGCAAAGTTCCTGCTTTCAGTCTCTCAGCCTATGAGATAGATATAGTTTATTGTATTTGTGGGAGGTAAATACACTTCTAATATGTTTGTACTAAGATGCTTTGGCCATATCTTTCTGTCCTTTTTAGTAAATAGTTTAATCTCCTGTGATAGTTTTAAGCTCTGAATTTGACAGTACAGCTTATCCGGGATAATAACTTAGTAACCACAACATCTTATGCCATCTGCACAATATCAAATACATTTTTATACCAGCATTAATAAACCTTAGTTACAAAAATCCAAGATATTAACCATATCCGTGCCATGTGCTCTCCCCATGACATAACAATGCATTCTGTCATGAGCATATCAAAACAATTGGCTTCATAGCTAATATGTAACTACAGCAATAAAACATATCTATAATAATCAAGTTTAATAACCAATGCAAAGTGCTAAATACCGTAGTTGCTGACATTTTTCACAAAAACAAAACAAAACAAAAAACTTGGGTTAAGACTGCACAACTAACATTCACACAACATTCCAGAGCCCCGTGACAGATGGCTGAGGAAAAGGGAGCATGTGACTGGGCTGCAGAGTTTTATAGTACAAAACCCATAAATAGTGCAGATTTGATCTCGCTAAAAAATATCAATTATTCCAGGACAACACTAATATATATTTTAGTTTTTACAGAAAAAAAGTTCCAAATAGCAAATTTTAAAAATATTAGAGTTGTTATGAGTATACATCTTGAGCAATCATGTGCTGCTTGAAAAAAAAAAATCACTCCTAATGTTTAAAAGAGAGACTTTTCTACAGCCCAAGCTCCAGCCGGCTGCTCCGAGCACCTGACTTGACTGGGAAAGAGCATGTTTGGGTAACGGGGTACAGATGGGCTGTAAGTGAGCACACAGATGCATTCAACAATTACACACAGTACCAGAGAAGGGTCCCTTTCTGTCCATAGATGGGTGGATCACACATTTACTGCATGGATTTTTATTCAGAGCAGTATCAATAGACATCACTTCTCTCCAGTGTTTGAAACTCCAAATGGCAGGATAGAAAAGGGGTGGGGGCGTAGTGTGAGTGGGGAGGCCGTAGGAGGAGGAACGAATATCCCTTCAGCTGATACGGAGCCCTGCCCCAACTTCTAATATTCTAATTTCTCAGTGCTATTTGGGATCCTTATTTTAATCATTTGATTTAAATTTGAACTTATTTTGAGGGTAGGCACAGGTCTAATATTATTTATGTACTTTCCAGTTTAGGAGCATATCAAAGACTATCCATTTCAGCCACTTTCATGTTAAAGATGTTATCTACGATTTATGTGTGTATGCATGTATGTATGTATGTATGTATTCATTAAATCCTGATAAAGCACTTAATATTTTTAAGCAACTGTATTTGGGGGGAAAAGAAAACTGAAAAAATATATTGTCCCTGCCTCTAAGGAGCTTATTATATGTATATAAAAATTTTGTAGTAAAAGGTAATTTAATAAATGTTATAAATTACTAAACCAAAAATTGAGATAATTATTCATTATAATTGTTATCTGTACTATAAAAGAAGTGTCTCAATTGTACATCAACAGATAAATGATTACTGTAATTATGCTACATCTATTTAATGACACATTACGCGACCAGTAAAATAATAATTATGAGGACTTTGTAGCAACATGGAAAAGACATATCACCTATCATCAAAAGCAGGAAACAACCTGGCATTTCTACTATACTTAGAAGTAGGGAAAAAATAGATAGGTATTTGTTTCCCTTAGAAGGACAAAAGTGGAAAATATAGAAAATTCTATTTAGAGGACAGGCCTGTGGCTATTTCCTCCAATATTTTCCAGGCAAATGAAAATATTGCATTGTCTTAACAAAAATTTTATCACACATTAAAGATGGTGATGAAGTTAAAAAAGCAACATCGTAATTTTTACCTTAAATGATCTGATTATGAAAATGAGTAGTATTCAAACTATTAGATAAGACAACATTGTTTTCCTTACTTGACAAGTTTTCTATTAACACAGGATTGGTCATGCTTCCTCCTTTCCTTTCTGACTTGGCTAAAAGGACACGAAAAGCCAAGTGTCCCTGAGCCTAGGTTTCTACTGGAATTGGCCCCTCGTCTTCATCCCTGGACTCAGCTTCTCTCATTCTTGCTGCAGGGAGTTTTGGGAGCATCTTTTGTGATTGAAAGTTATCTGAAGCAGGCAGGGTATTAAAAATAAGGGGAAAAAGACAGTATCTAATTCTTACTAAATCATAATTGAGTATTAAAATGACTAAATTCAGAATATAAACTTGTGAAATGTACTCAATATAAATAGAATGATGGATTTCAAAGGAGGAATCAATATCTGCCATAAGGTATAAAATTAAAATGAAAATTCCCAAAAATCTTTGTCTGAGACTTGGATCACAGTCAGTGAAAACCGTTGGTGGGCCAGCAGTCCACACAATGACAAGATCTTTAAAAAGATAAGACGGGAATCAGGTGTGAATTCAAATTGCTGTTTCAATATTTATAGCTGTGCCACTAGGAGAAATTATTTAATATCTCTGTATTACTGTTTCTTCATCTGCAAAAAGAGATAACATCTGTTTGACAGAATTTCTAGAAAGATTAAAATGGATTCATGTGGGCAAAATGCTAGTTTATAATGCCTGGTACATAATAGTTATTCAATAAATGACAACTACTACTACTAATAATTCGATTGGGTCTTTGAATTCCAAAAAAGGACATATTTCTATGCTACTGTACACATAGGTAAAGTGTCACTTATTAAGTATCTATTTTCCCTACACATGTATTAATTGGTCCTTTGAGATCCTTGACCCGAGTCCCATATAACATTTTACACACAGTAAGTGACTGAAAAGGCCGCTTTTGGATCCTAACCATCCTGAGAGCTGCTAGGCTATTTCTGATATTAGGCAGCAAGAATGGTGGTGTGATATCATGTTGTTTCTAGGCCTTGTTCAAGCACAAAACAGACTTTGAACTTTAAACATTTCAAGCAAGTGTCAGTGTTCTGTTTTCTTTTAAGGCACACTGTGCATATGCCACTTTGTCTGAACGGGGGAGCACCAAAACAAACAACAGAATGCTTGGCAAGCCGCAGGGACCGGGATAAAGATAGACTGTGGAGAGATTCTACCTCTGTGGGTGAGGGTGGGAGGGAGGAAGAATGGGGAGTGCCTCTGCCCCGCCCTGGCCCCCTCTCACGGCAAGAGGAAAGCACTGGGCAAACTCAACGAGCCGGGATGCTCACTCCACGCCTGCTGCCCACGGGCTGAATCCTCTGCTCGTAGCAGCAGCAACAGTCACCAGACTAAAGGGGGAATGTTTGAAGCTGTGGTCCATGGATGCTTTACAAATTCATACAAATTCCAAAATAAAATAAAGGACATTATATAAATCTTAGAACAAATGTACGAACTAGATCAAAAGAGGGCTCAGACCTCAGACAAAATTAGCTTTAACTATTATGATATCCACTAAGTATTGACATTATTTTTTTCTCCTGACTTGGTTCCTCAAAGAGATACTTAAAACGTATTCAGGTAATTTTTGGCAGGATAGATGTGTTATATTCATGCCAGATTGTATTTTAATGAATAATCCCTTTGAAGATTACATTCAGGCTATAATGGACTTGGGTTTGGGCAGTGATGTTAGTACTGATACCTTCATTGCACCGTGGGGAAGGGGCTGATGAGGGGAGTGTGTTAGTGTTGGGTAGAGAGCCGCTCAGGCTGAGAAACTTCAGAAAGAGAACACTTCAGAATACCCACATTATCCATTCTTCACTGTTTTTAGTGTTAGGAACTCAGAGCTCTCTGGCCACTCTGCAAATAGCCTCTGCTTCTATTATCTTCCCTAAGAGTAGAAATTTTGCAAATCATGAATTCCGATCACCCGCTAAAGTTGGAGTCAGTTGAGATCTTGCATATAGCATGAAAAAAAAAATCTGTATTAGCCTCAACAAGTGAATATGAGGGCAATTTCAAGGTTAGTGTCCTTAGGCTTGATTTTACAAAGGTTGTAAATGTTGTGCCTGGGTGACAACATAATCTGCAATTTTGTTCTCTTATTGGGCTCTTTAAGCTACTTGGAGAAGCTGATTATGTAAAAGAAAAGGCTGGATGAGACAGGAAAATAAGAAATGAGCTTTTCCCAAGTTCTGATCAGATTATTTTTGCAAAGCCACCCATGCCACACCTGGACATGAGGAACATTACCTCTGGAAACCCAGCCCTCTACCTGCAACACCCATTTTGCCCTGCTTTGTCTGCAAGCTTTTTGAAGGCAGGATCAGTGATGAAATCTAACTTGGTCTTGAACAGTCCAGCACTTAAACACCTTTTGGCTGGAATACCTAAGAGTCCATCTGCCAGAATGTCCCTCTAGTACATCAAAAATACTGGCTACAGAAATCAAGAGAAAGGAAAAACTGTACATGTCTGCATTCTTTGTTCTAAATTGGAAACTCAAGAGATCTATGGATTTTTGCTATCAGAAATAAACATACAGACAATTTACCATGGAGGAAAAAACAAATCATAGTGGAAAGAGAATCAGGCTCCTGCTCAATGTGAAGGGGAAGATTGTTTATTCTTAATCCAGTGTTAAGTGAAAGGCACAGAGCAAAGTTCAACACTGACAATAGAAACGGCCCACATGGGCACTCTTTGATTAGAGGCCATTTTTAGGGTTAATTACTTTGGCTCCCCCCCCCAATAACTATTTTTTGTGGTTTCGGGAATTTATGAGGCTCTCTTCTATATGGAGAAAACAGGATCCGACAAGGACAGAATTCTACCAGTTGTTAGAGCTGTGTGCCAGTGTGCACCTGGAAGAAGAATTCTGCACAAAGTGACGTGCTGGGTGCCATGTGTAATCTGCTTTAACAACCACTATGTCAAATAAGTCTATCTGTGCACTTGCTGTCTCTGCCATCCTCATCCTCACGTCAGTGATGTGGCTTCCGCAGCTCAGACTTGGCTGGCAGTTGGGAGGCACACACTTGCAGGAGAGTTCCTGTCCCCGGGGCAGCCACAGCTGTGCCCTGGGCAACCCTGGCACACAGAGTGCTCCCAACAGAAGCATAAGAACATACACAGGGAGTCAATCATTTGAATTTTTGAAATAAGCCAATTTAACAGGCACCTTTCTGACCAGAAATGTGTTTTAAAAAGAGAAGAACATATATTGATAAGGGAAAATGCTCTCAGATTTTAGTCATCTTTGATTCATTGTTTGGCTTCATCAATTAATAGAACACAGAGCACATTAAGGGTAGAATCAGAATTCTGAGGAACAAAACAAATATCTACACGTGCAAATGGAAAGCATTCAACCTAGAATAATTTACCCAAGTGATTTAATAGCACTAATCATTATAATATTGGTATTTTGTTTTCATAGAACAGCCTATACCAACAAATAATAAAGCACTAAGAAGAAAGATAATTTAGCATTTCTCCAACTAGCTACATATTAGAATATCCCTTTAAAAAGAAAAAAAAATGTTCAGGTTTAAAAATAACTAAAGTTTCATTTAAAGTACCCTAGATCATTTATTTAAGTAAATACTTTCTGATTTGGATTCCTTTGAATTTGGATTACTTGGTATTTTCTTTATATGTTTTTAAAGGATGTGTTTTTCTTTGTTTAAGATTCTCATTTTTTAAAAAAAAAATTATTTTTGAGTGATTTTTGGCCACCAACTCTTCCTGGGGTTTACTTGGCTCAGATTTGTCCAGAAGCTAATTCCGATTCTTCTGTCAAATGCTCCATAGCACCGTGTTCCCACTCTCCTGAAGCCCTGGCGGGCGCAGCCGAGCAGCTGACCACGCTGGGCACAGGGCTGAGTGTGAAGGCAAAAAGAGAGCTATTTCCTTTGATCTCCTGAGTCTTGGGGTTAGAGTTTAACCCAAGGTATCTTTCACTTGAAGCAGGGGTAATATCTCTTCTCCAAGGAAGCCTGTGCATTGTATTTCAGCTGCTTTCAGTCATCTAGGTGGGAAAATGATTTATTTTTGCTGAGCCCTTTGGGTAAACAGGACTCACTGGCTCGGCTGAGGGCAGGCGCAGTCCTACCCTCCCTCTGGGGAGGATCACTGTCACTCTGCAGCCTGACCAACCCTTCCTCCTCAAAAGGCGGACATGGAGGACCTGTTTCTTGCTTTCAGCAAGGTATCATAAACATGGATGGGGACTTCTCGTTAGTCGGAGAGGCGAGGTTATTAGAGAAATATAATTAACGCCAGAGGCTTCAGAAATGTGGCATCTTCATAAACTTCATAGAGTTAGGTTTTGGATTTGAATGTCCTAAGCTCTCAATTCCCCTGAACTAGCTCTTGTGGATTGAACGTGTCCAGTTTCATGATGCATCCTGTGAGGCGCCTACAGCTAGCTATAATGTGCCACGACGAAATTTCACCAGTCAATTGTGCAAAGGTTTCACAAGTCACTGTTTAATCGTATATTTCCTACTATCTTTAATTTGTAGACAGCAAAAAGCTGCCATTGTTCAGACCGATTTTAATGGTAATCAATCCTCTTTGTCGGCCAAACTCCTCCAACAAAAAATAAGTTTGAAAGCTGTAAATCCCCCCAACCAGTGTCCATAGTTCACTTCTCCCCCGACTTTGGTACCTCACCTTCCAGAACAGCCCCTCTCACTCGTCCTTGAACCCACCGAGCTCAGCCCTGTCAATGCTCCTCCGAGCCTCTTCCTAAGACAAGAGGGGGCATGCTGTAGGGTGGGAGTGGGCATGGTAGTGAACGTGGTTAGGAACATGAAAGGCAATTCATTCTCACGATTCAGTCACTGCCCACCCTCCAGGCTCTTGGACGGGCATACCTTGGCATACAGGCTCTGTGGTTTGTTGGAGAGGATGTCTGCAGCTTCCCTGCAGCGGGTGGAAAGGTTCAGGATGGCAGCAGCTGCTGCTATGTGGGTGTCTTCACTACATTGACCGTAGCTATAAGAGCTGGCACTGCAAGGGCTCTGTGTGTGGGCGCCTGCACTAGGCAGTCGATTAGGAAATTTCCCTGGATTTGAAAAATGCTTCGCTGCTGAAAAGAGATTTGATTAGCAATTGCATGTACGTGGTTTTAGTCATTAAATAGATTTGTTTTAAAGACATAACTTCTTGCATTAAAATATGAGAAGAATAAATTAAAACATGATCCATTATGCACTGGTACATTAAATGAAGGTTATTCAGATTGGTTTTCACAGAAGTTCACAGATCAAATTATGTGATTGCTGGGAAAAAATGCCTATTCTCTTAATTTTTTTTTATTTTACTTATACTTCTTATGACAAAAACACCATAGCTAATGTTATGGGGCAGGTGCACTGGCAGCATTCGTGTCAAAAATTCTATATTATAAACCACACTAACAAATACACATCAGGGACTACAGGGGCTTAAGGCTTGTCCATCTATAAACTGTGTATGTGTGAGGGCCAGTAATTCCAGTAGAGAAAAAAAAAATATCCTTTCAGTATTTGTTTTCACAAAACAAGTTACATTTAGATATAGAATTGCATTTTTATTATTTGATACACAGGTTTGCTTTGTACTTAAACCAGTAGAAGCTGTTCTTCATCCAACTAGATGGAACTAAATAGATGGCGAAGTCTTTAATGAGCTGGCATTTTGCATATTCAGGTAGAGTACGATGAGTAAAGGACAGAAAAAATGTTCTCAAGGTGAACAGAAAGGCAATTTAGATATCAAGGCCAAGTTTCTGTTTTGGACACTAAGGCATTGCTGAGAGATAGAATTATACATATTTTTCTTCACTCTGAGTGTTTTTAAACATCACTCAAGATTATGGGGGAAACACCCGAGATTTAATGTGGGGTTATATAAAAGTATTTAGCTATTAATTTTGCTGTAAATATTTTTATTTTAAAGGTTTTATCATTATTTTTTTATAAAACAAAAAATATGTTATCCCTACATGGAAATATAAAAATGTCACTGAATATTTCACATTGTTAAATCAATATTGATATTATATAGAGTATATAGATTGTTTTTATTAACTAGCTTTACCAGAATTAAACATATATGTATGTGTATATATTTTATATATTTTTAATAAAACTGTATGAAACTGTACATAAAATTGTATAGATAGATACAAAACATACTCTGTGTGTCTATGATTTTTTTCCTCTTAATCTAATGGGTTTTCAGTGGTTATTCATGGTTGCTGGAAGCTATTTTTGGTAAGAATAGGTAAAGTATCTTTTGGAGTGTAATCTACTTGTTGATGGACAGACAGACTCCTTTCAAGTCTGTTTGTATCCACTGTTGGGTTTTGTACAGAATTCCAGTTCTTGGAAAGAGGAGATCAGTAGCACAGACTGAAGCAGACTCTGTGTTCTAAGAGCACTCAGTCTTGGGGAAGAGGTGTGGGAGCAAAGGGATTCCACAGAATTGTAGAATGGTGCACAAAATTTATGGTCTATGGAGGCCTCAAAGTGGGGAATTATTTGCTTCTTCCCTTATGATTAATTTACTATAATGCAGAAATCCTTGCTGGCTCTATTGCCGATGTCACTTTCATTAAAGTACTCAAGAACTCTAAACAACTTGAAAAATAATGTCAGTCAAAACACCAAGTTTTATTGTTATAACATCTTTGAGTTATGAATACACCTTCTATTTAGATGTGTTAACATTAGAGAGTGTTAACACATTTTAAATGTTTCTATATAAATTCTTAAATTTGGGGGTAAATATCTCCATAGCTACACACATTGTTTTTTTCCTGTAAAATCTTGATGCCTAAATTGTGTTTCTTCTTAGACTTTTCACTTTTTCTCCTACTTTCAGTCTGAAGACTTCTGTTAATTAAGTCATGTTTTAAGTAGTACTTCAATATTTTACCTATTAAATTTTCACAATTACATTATCGATCAAAATTACTTTCTTATAATAGCTGTTACCATTTTTAATATATGAATCTCAATCCCAGGCAAATGTGAATTAAATATTTCTTTAGAATTATTGTATTTAGACTCAACAATAGTAGCATATTTGTAAAATAACTAATTCATTAACTAATCACCATATTCAGTATAACTTCATGTAAAATCAGTAACACTGATCAACTTATTATTGTGTATATTATTTCACTGTACAGTGTATTTTCTCTCCTCCCGGCAGTAAGTAGCATATTTAAGTACATGCCCCTCATCCCCCAACACACACATACACAATATGCATTGTTTTGGAATAAGCATTAGAATTCAAAGCTTACGTTCAAGAAATGGTGGTGTTTTTTGTCCTTGACCTGTTTGTATGAGGGGGCGTTTACCGAAAACCTGTGCATCGAAGCTGGCATAATCAAATGGTACCTTTCCAAATTTCTCTTGTTCTTTTGAAGCTGTGGCTCTGGGAGAGGGGATGGCTTGTGATCGGAAATTGAATTCTATTTGCTTCACCAAGCTTGTCCTGAAGGGTGCAAAAGAAATATGGTAAAACTATTGGTGAATAAGCATATTCACTCAGAATTTAGAGCAGATCAGGTGTGTCATGCCTGTGGGTACCCTGGAGACACTGCACTGTGGGAAAGAGCTGTGGGCACCACACAACAGAGCAGAGTGCTCTGCACCAGGAGCAAGAGGTAGAGAGGCACTTCGAACCCTGGGTGCTTAAGGTGGGGCTTCATTTTGTGCATCCGAGTCTCCCATTGGTAAAAGAGAGATGTACAAACTTTCATTCATCTTATGCAGATGCCAAGAGGAGCAAGTGTTTGATGTATGTTAGCACTTTGTGCTCCTTAGAGAAAAGTGCCATATAACTATTATTAGGGCGCTGACAAGGTGTGCACATTTTGTTTGTTAGAAATGTTCATCAAATTAGCAGTGAAAAGTCACGATTGTAACTAGTGAGGAAAAGACATTATAACCTGTTCAGAAGAAGCGATGCTGAACACTCTGCCCTGTTCAGCAGACCTGGCAGGAAACTAACACCTAGAAGGGGCTGCACAGGCAGCAGAAAACTGATACATGAATTGTGAGTTTCTTTTCAGGCTTTTCTCCTTTCCTGCCAACTTCTGTCTGAATGTTTTTGCTAATTTACATAATATTTTAAATAGTATTTCAATATTTTAGCTATTAAATTGCTATCATGTCAATATGAATCTAAATTACTGTATTATCATAGCTATTACATTTTTTTTCCAAAAGAACTATCCCAATCCAAGCTAAATGTGAATTAAATATTCCTTTTAGAATTATCGTACTTGGATTAAACAAGGGCAGCATGTTTGTGTGGTACCAATTCCAGCCAATGAGAACACAAATATTGTGGTGTTATGGCCTAATGGTAAAATAATATAAATAAGTATACCTTTCAGAATGTGTATATATATATATATATATATATATTCTTTTGTTTTCTACCAAAATACGCCTGACTCATCAGAACATCAAAGTTTTGATAATATTTCTTGGATTTGGTAGAGAACATTTTAGCTGAAACATAAAAATATTTGAGTGATTAGTTCGTCTTGTATTGTATATATCACTTGCTTTATACCCTTAATGTTACATAAGTGTTCTAGTCTAAAACAATATTTATTTTTTAAGAAGTGAGCAAAGTAAAACTTAATGTTATTTCCTATTTATTTATTTACATCTTTATTGTTGAAAGTATTACAGATGTCCCCCTTTTTTTCCCCATTGACCTCCTCCCGCCCCCATCTTCCTCCAGGCCTCCTCATCCTATTGTCTGTGTCCCTCGGGTGTGCATATATGCACATCAGTTCTTGGTTTTATCTCTTCCCACCTTCCCCACCCCTTCCCTCTGAGGTTTGTCAGGCTGTTTCCTTTTTCCATGTCTCTGGGTCTCTTTTGTTAAATAACCTATTTAGGGAGAAACTAGAGAATACAGTAAGACAACTAAGAATCTTGTTATAAAATTTTAAATTGCAGGTTACTTATTCAATAATGCATTTACTTCACTTGACATGTGTTCTTCACTCCAGTGACTTCAATGCCTATTTTGACTCTTTTAATTCGGTCTATAGAAGCAAATATTAAGAGAAGCCAAATCTCAAAAAATATTCCTACTACCTATTTTGCATTTCAGTGTCTTAGTAACAACAATGAACATCTGGTCATCTGTTTCCATCCTGAAATCACTTTTCTTACATATGATTTTTATATTAATAAATGTAACCTCACATTAATTGACATATATACTTTACTATTGAGGGATAAGTATGGTCTTCTAAGCTGCCAGAGATTGTGATGCACCTAGGACCAATAAGATATATTTTATTGATAGTTATTAACTCACTGAATAAATTTGTGTTTTAAAAAAGCTAAATGTATATGTGGAACATAGGGTGGATATATAACGTCACATAGTTTAAGTGGTATGAGTGACATAGGATGGCATTTTCTCTGGGCAGAAAGGTTAAGTTAATCATAAGGTGGAGCATAGCTGACCAGTGGGATGGGTTGTATTTAGTGATGCAAAATTTTGAGTAATATATGTTATCATATACTTCAGTTCTTTTAAATTCATCCATACCATGTTATCTTTGCATACAGGTTAATTTCAAGTAAAACTTCTGGAGGGTCTAAAAGCTCACTGAAGTGACAGTGTGATCAGCTGGACCAGCCTCTCAGTGGATATTGGTAGCTGAGAAGGAAACTCAGGCCTTAGTGAACTAGCACATGGAGGTGACAGAGCCCTTGAGTACGAGTGTAGCATGAACAGAGCACCAGGGATGTCATGAGAGGTCATACCTGTGTACCTGGTCAGAGCACTGTCCAGTTTGGGAAGAATCAAGCTGATTTTTGTCCTGGGACATTGCCAATTTTTCAGCTGCAGCAATTGGACAACCTGAAAGACTGTTAAAAAAAAAAAAAAGCAGGAGTAGGGGGGATTTGAGGTAAAAAGATAAGATAATTTACTTTGGCAGGTATACCTCACAGCATACATGGCACACACTAAGTATTAAGTCATATTAATAGTTCACTTAGCACAGCAAAGGGGTTTGAAACTATAGTGTCAACATCCATCCCTCAACCACATCTCTGAGGTGGTAGATAAACTCATTTTTAAATAAAAATATTATGTAAGTGAAAAAAAACTAAATTATTCTGAAACTTCCTAATACTTTAAGTGGAATGTATTCACTCCAATGGCAATGTATCCAACCATAGATGTTGGCATGATAACTCCATGATTTATCTTTGGATCGTTAGGAAATGTTAATGACTTCGTTGGATGTCTTAGTTTAAATAGAATATGACGGTTTCTGGCAATATGCTCATGAATCAAATAGTATCTGCAGACCACATAATCTATACATAATATGAAATACACATAAAACAATAAGCATTTTCACCAAAAATAGTTACATATACACAATACATTTATATATAAATGTAGTGTTTTAAGTTAGTTGATATCTCATTGAGATGAATCTCCATGAAAAGTAGCAATGTTTAGCTTCATCCTGATTTATAGTCAAAACCACCATATACTGAAGGCTTTTTGGTACGTTTTTAGTGCTTATAGAATGGGGTTCAAGATTCCTAAGCAATTCTTTTCAATGTCAAAACAGCTGTGGCGAGGGTTCAGAGTAAAAGAGAACATTCTACTTGTATGTCTATATGAATGTGTAATCCTAGTCTTCAATTTAACATTTTTGTTAGCATAATTGACTGTTAAATGAACATTTCTAAGGAAGTAAATAATGAGGTCTTTTTTTTTTTTTTTTCACTCTGTGCAAATTGAGACTACTTCTTATCTATGTCAAACCGTGGTCAGGTATTTGATACTGATGTAGTGATTTGGATAACGCATTGCTCATTTCTTATTTTCTTGATGGAAAGTGTCTCTCACTTCTTTTTGTAATTACCTCCTGTGGGTATTTCGATTGCTGTTCACATGTCCTCTTCCTGTGCATCCTGGAGTAGGACACTTGAGCACATTTTCATGCATGGCAAGAACTAAGAACAAGATATCACATAAAAGAAAAAAAATGATATACCATAAATACATAACACACTGATAAATTGATTTTTCAGTTTTGCATTCAAATGAATTTAGTTACATAACCCACCATCCTCCCTACCCATAGTTATTGGAGTTGAAGTAAATAGGCCCTTAAGGGCTTCAAAAATTAAATTCAGCAAGTTTGTCCAAGTTTTAGGTTTTCTAAGCTTCATATATGGTTAACACTAGACTTAAATGAGACTATTCTGCTTATATTTAACTTAAACTGAAAAGCTCATAATCTTCCTTTTATATATTTATGCTTTTCCCTGGAGTGAATGGAAAACATTATTTATCAGGTAGTAGTTCTTTCTATCTTTACCCTGCAATATGAAGTTTTGAATATAGTCTTCTTTATTTACTAAGAGGTATTATTTTGATTCCTTGTCCCTTGCGCCCAGTCCTCACCCTCACTGCTATTCAGTTACTGGTGAAAGAGTATGGTTGAGGCAATCAGTTTGAAGAATCGCTAATCCAGTGGGATAGTGTTGAGCTGATTAGATTCAGTGATTTAAAAAAAAAGATTTTGACAAGGGTGATGTTGAGACACTCCCATCACTGCGGTTTGTATGAATCAAGAGGTGTTTCAATAAGTAGGGTCAAGCAGAGGATATAACACAGAGACACTTGAAAACTTAGGAGGCAATCCTTTCCTTTTCCTTGTTTGCCAGCTCACCGGAGCCTGTGGGTGTGGAGACCAGCTTAGGGTTGCTCTTGCTCAGGGCCCTCAGCTGCTGTAGATTGTCCTGGGGCAACATCACAGACATTACCTGACGCTAAGGGCAGAGGCAGGTGCAGAGGACAGTGGATGATGCACTGAGGCTAACACTCCTGGTGGGCCTAAGGAAGCCATGCCTCCAAGTAAGAAAGGACTGTGCAGGGGCACAGCGTATTAACCATGCTTTTTTCTGTATTTTCATGCTTTGACATCTGGGGCCTTGCTAACCTTGGGGAGACCCCCTCCCAGGGCTCCCTAACTCCTAGAGACAGTAAATGCTCTTCAAATGCAAACCAACCCATTCTGAGCCCCCACCCAGCCTCTTTCATCAGGTTCTGGCACTGCAGGACCCTCTGCCTGCCCTGCTCTCCCAGGGCCGAGCATGGAAAGAAATCAAACAAGCCAATCCTAAACCTGCTTCCTCCGCTGCTTCCCATGGACACTGCAGTAAAGGCCCCTGTTCGCAATCCCCCGCACTCTGCCCCCTGACTGGCCTGGTACTTCCCAGTGTGGCTCTCCCTGGTGAGACCTGCCCCTCCCCTTGGGAACCATGAGAACAAATTATCTTCTCAATATCAGTCATCTCGTGATCTGTTGGCCTGACTGTACCCACGTTTTATATTAATACACTGTACTTAAAACACCAGGTTAGATGAAAATTATCTTGATGAAATTAAAGAAACTTATATTTCCATTCCTAATTCCAAATTAGAGGAGAAAGAGGATACCATTGTGATGCTGCAGAATATAAACTAAGGCACCAACTTCTTTTAGGGCCAAGAAGTACTCACTTTCGAGGGGAACCCGCACTTTGTGGGGGCACCCTGAAAGGCTGCGGTGGTGGGGGTAGAGGCCTGTCACATGTCCTGAGCCATCACACCCAGGGATGGGGCATTTGGTCTCCCTCTTCTCGGGCTTCGGTGAATCTACAGAGAAATGAAACGGAGAGATTCGTTTGGTTATTCTTCTTTCCCTTCCCTTTCAACAGAGTGGCCTTGCAGGGTGACATTCTCACTTCATTCCGTTTCATCATCATAAACATTCTTCTCACATTGCCTTGAATAAGACCTGTGGGAACATAAAACATGTTTTCAATTTTCTTGGTTTCCTAAGCAAAGGCTGACACAGGGCAAGGGAGTGTTAAAATACAAGATGAGTTTAAGTTGTTATGCCAGAGATTGCAGTTAGAGCCTCATTTTGAAAAAGTAATTCCACACCACAGGATACACATGCCCCTGAAAAGGAAAAAAAAAAAAAGTGAGAAAGAATTTATTTAAAGCAAAGATGATCTCCTATTGAAGGAGTCTGGTAAAAGCCAGGTTCAAAATGTCAAAACAAAGAAGCCACCATATCTGAGAAAGACATCTCTGGCCTTGTCACTCAGAAAGCATCAGGCCCCAGGCTCCCAGGCATGTGTGGGACCTGCTCCCACCAGAGTTAGAATGCCACCGTGGGCCACGCTCAAACAATGGGCAGTGCTGCAGAGGCCCAAGGGTCCAAAACACCAATGGTTTGCAATTTTGGCTCTCAAGGCAGGGACTGCAGGAAAGGAGCTGTATATTTACTCTGAATGCAGAAACTGAAAACGGAGGCAACAGGAAGAAGGTTTGGCAAAGCAACATTCTTGCGGGAGACTTAGAATGGAAATCAAAGAGGGGAGGCTGCGGCGAATGGTCTGGAGAGCGCTGCCAAGAACATGAGGTGGGGGTGGGGATCACAGGCACAGCCAGGCAGGGATCAGGGACACCTTGTAACTCACTTTGTCAGGCTGCCATGGGACGGCAGCCTAAAGGGGGAGGGCTGAAGACAAGCCCTGGATTTTAATCTTCTGGCACACACATTGCTGAGGGTTAGATAACCGGTTATCTAAATACATAAAATAACCAAAACTAGCAGGAATGCTAAGGAGGTTAGAGCTAACAGAGGCTGTCTTCAGAATTTTCACATTCGTGATTGAGGTGGCAGAGGCACTTAAAACAGAAATGCGTTCTTATAGACCAAACTGCCCTCTCACTAGTGCATGGAATGAAAAATAATGACAATAAATAATCTGCATGAGCCTGCCTCCAGAAAGCTGCCTGGAAAGGAATCAGGGGCAGAGTGCTGCCTGGAGGTTGCGGGGGACACATATGCTCCGCTCCAAGAGTGTCCGGAGGAGCAGGGCGGTGTCGTGGGATGGGGCAGCCGTCTTCAGAGCAGAAGACTGCAAGGGGCAGGCTGCCTCTGTGATAGCACGCCCACCCCCCCCAGTTGTTGGTTTATAAACGTTCCTGGGCAGATGGGCACAGCAGGTTGTATGTAATGCAATTATTTGGGGGCATGGTTTCAGCAAAGGGGGAGGAGCCAAAGATCCTTCAAGTTGTCGGCACAGGAGGGGCGGAGCGGAAAGAAAGCTCTAAATTGTCAGTGAGAAATGAACAGCGGAAATACGGGGATTCCTTGAGTAGCAGGCATTTTTGTGTTAGACAGACAGGATTGAAATGCCATGATGGGAAGAATATACTCTTTTTTCTGTACGAGATAAAGGGGCTTATTAAGAGCTTTGACATGTTCCGTGATTTTTATAGATATAGATTTTATTTAATCCAAAAATGTTGCCCAATTTCCAGTTGATTTGGGCATGCACTATCTGTAGACCACTAGTCAAATTCCTTGAAGTTTGATTAGAGTGGAATTAGGAGGGTTTACACCATATGAAAGTGAACTAGAAAAAAAGGAGAAGCAGTGTGTATTTCGGTGCCTTTCCTCTCTTGGATCTCATCCAGGTGAGGCTACATTTCTAAACCATACTGAAAGGTTTGGCGTCAAGTGTTTCTCCTCCTTGCCACACTATTTGTCTACAGGAAGCCAGAGAGGGTGTGGGAGATAAGGCAGGGCTGGCACCTGACCAGGTGTGGTCCACTGACAGTCCATCATGCACCTTTGTCTGCAAAGCTCCTCTCTGTGGCTGAAACAAAGATGCTGATGAAATGCTCTATAGGGCAGAACCTGTTCGCCGGATAAGAAGCCAGAGCTCCTGTGACTCTCAGACCTGGCTCCTTTTACTTTTTGTGTGAAAGGCTGCAGAATGACCTTACACCCTGAAGACCTTATATCCTGGTTTGACTGGGACTGTCCTATTCACACCTGATACACCTGTGCGATTGTGCACCTCACTTCCCTTCACTCTAGAAAGCTGTACAATAAATTGTATGATGATTCTACTTATATTTTGACTTAAAGTCTCACTAGATGCTTAGTAGCAACAGGATGGTCAAACTTTTTAAATTTTAGAATTGCTGACTCATCTGAAGTCTTGGGTAAAATGATATTTTAGAATCTTCCTCTTTTCTCCTTAATAGCAGTCACATGCCCATGGTCTGTAGAAAATTAGGATGATATTTTGAAGAGTATGGCTATCATTTGGGAAAAGTGTTGACTTAGAAGTATAGAATTTATGCCATAGAGCAAAGCACCTCTTACGCTGCTGGCTCCCAAATCTGGAAAAAGGATCAGGAAAGTGAATACTTAATTTGGACTCTGTAGGCATTCTCTAGATTGAACCTCGTTTCTCTGAGTTTCAGTCTTTTTTCCCTTCTGTTATATGCTAATCTGGTCTGGCTCTCCTTGCATACATGTTTAAGGAAGCGCCATTTTCTATGAAATAAGATACACTATTGACTCAGGCAGCACATTAGACATTCAGTAAATCTCAACATGACCCACATTTGCAAGCACAGATTTTGGTGCCTTGTTAATTTTTGAAAACAAAAATAGTTTCAAAAGTTCTACAAAATTGACAAAGGATCGTCAAGTATTTCAAGCTAAAGCAAAATAATTAAAATTTCTCTGAATTCTGGATTTTGTTGGCAGGAAGATTCCATCAACTGTAAGATGAAACATTATTTTGTGTGCTAGTAAGAACAAAAAAACTATTGAAATTAAATTATGGCACATTCTTTGATTTCAGATATATTGAACTAGGAAACTATGTATCTTAGGATAAATGAAATATAGTATATTAGATATTATGGGTTGGGGGAATTTGAAGTAAATTTCATTTTTTTTTCTAATTTTGAAGTTTATTAAAAAGTAAAACAAATAAACAAGAAAACCAAACAGTGAGTCCAACAGTTGCATATTAGTGGAGTACACAGAGCTAAATACAGTGTCCTACCCGAAACCACACACTAGACATCCCAACTCTGGCTGTATGTTTGCATAGTGTGATCTTGTTCCTCACGACATGATATTATTTTATTCTTTTTTGTGTTTTCAGCTCTGAGCTGCAAGGCAATATCTAATAAGATTATAGGTGAGTACTAAAATGGACTTAAAATGACAAAACATGTCATTCATTTCTGCATAAATATAAGCAACTAGAACATCTAAATATTCTAATAAGCACAACCTTGGGGCCACCACCTTGATTTTCCCTGATTCTGTAGTTATCAGACTAGGTGTCCAGAACCACTTGACAAACTTGCTTAAAAAAGGTCAAGTTCTGGAGCAGTGCGTCTGATGAGACCCTGGAGAAATCCACCTTAAGCAAGCTTTCTAGGCACTTAAGTACCACCATTTGGGAAACTCCACTTGACTGTAAAAATCCTCCTCAGGCCCACCTGGTACAAGGCTGGGGGTAAAATAGGGGATGGGATTATTCTTATGGGAGAGCAGACACAATTTCCCTAAAGTCTGAGGAACAGTTTTAAGCATATTTACTCTCTCATTCAAGCTTGGCCCAGATTTCTGTGGACCCTTAGTTAGAGAGCTTGTAAAAGGCATAGGCTTATAAAAGCATTAATAGCCAGTTTTATCCTAAGAAGGATCAGATAGATCATCCCGCCTGACTTACAAATAGTTTGACATTATTTTGAAGCTTAAAGACTGCCAGATGATCCCAGAAAGAGGGTGGGGAAGAAAAAATATATTTCTAAAATGGATTGATGAATATGATGATTTCAAATCCAATAAGTACTAATGTATTTCTAATGCCCCAAAAAGTACTTTTAAAAAAGTACTGTACCCTTTAAAAAAGCAATCTAATTAAAAGAAAGAGGCAATGATCCTTTTATTGTGTGTTATTGTGTGTAGAAACATGGCAAAACTGGCGGAGCTTGATCTGAGCACAAGTTAGGGAGTAGAAAAACAAAAAGAAATGGCTTATTTTAAAATATAAACTAGTTTTTAAATTGTGTTAAGTTGTTAAAAAAAAAAAGCTATCTGGAAGAAGTAACCAAATTATACTAATTTTTTTTTCCGACCCTAAAGCAATTTTATTTCTAAAATAAATGAGAAAACATGTCTTACGTTTATTGTTAAAGATTTGTCTTCCACCCATGTCAATAACTTTGGTTTGTCTCCTTTCCCCTGCTAGGTGCTCCAGCAGAAACCTGTCCAGCTCCTTGTAGGTGTTATGGAACACACAGCCGGGCTCGGCCTGCAGAGCAATGGCCTGCTCCAGCAAACTCAAGTTTCCCTTCGTCTTCTCCAGGTCCACAGACTCTTCTGTCATCACTGCCAGGCACCGGTTATCGTCTTCCTCAGCCCCAGGGAACGAGGCCTGGGCTTTGCCATCCAGTGGTTCTGTGTGAGCACTCTGTGGGTCTCTCCCCTGTGTTTCAGAATCACACCTATTTTCACAAGAGATAAATTTGTCAGCTTCAGTTTTTATTTCAGTAACTTCCAATATGTCTTTCCTATTATCCACTAAAATATACTTTGGGACTCTATATGGTTTGGTTTCTTCTGAGAAGTTGGAGCCACTGTCCCAACCATTCTCTGCACTTTCAGGGTTACTCTCATTGTCGTCGGAGGAAGAGAATCTTAGCTGGGAGTCGTTGATTTTGTCTTTCCCATCATCGGAATGAATCATAAAGCACTCATCCACTTCATCACTCTCCGCTTTTAGAGACTGGATGCCACTGTCATTTAAGTTTTCATTTATAGTCTGAACAGGTGCATTTTTTTCTAATTTCCCCAAGTGCATTAAAGATTTGACCACAAACTCTTGGTAACAGTCGTATCTGTCTTCCTTCCCATTGGAGTTTTCCTGTGCTGTTGAATGAAGACTCTCATCCATAGGTTTTATCATGGTTTCTTCTACGGAAACAAACACACACCAATATTTGAAAAGCAAGAACAAAAATAGTTTAAGAAAAATAGTGTTAAAATCATTTAACTATATTTAATAATTTAAAATTATTTTCAAATATTTTAAGAAAATATATATAATACGTGAAATATGTGAATATGTAGGCTCTACTCATTTTAAAAAATTAGGAAAAAAACATATCTTCTTAAAACAAACAAAATAAAACAAAACTTAGACCTTTATATTCTGAGAATTATCTTTAAAAAAAATGAGCTGTTGGAATTTTCAGTATACCAAGAAGTGCTTCTAGGGTACTGAAGTAGATACATAACAGTTACAGAGTGCTGAATGTAAGTTATTGTTACCTATTATATTTGCAAATCTTATCCACCTAGCAGGAAATCAAATATACACAATGCTGTGCATTATAAAGGAAATATTCATCAGAGTTCTCTGCTAGCATGGCAATATATGTTCAAAGCTTAGTTGGTTTAAGTTTTTTACCTTCATAGTTTTTCAAACACACTTTCAGATTTTATGGAATTTTAGTTAAAATACAAAATATATCTACATAATGATAACTTAAAAAGTTCTGAAGCTTTCAAGATGTCCTGACCACTTTGGTTTGTTTCCTTTTCCCTGCCATACAAAAATTTCACGTGGAAATAGAAGCAAATGGGAAAATTAGCATGATCAAATAATATATTACACAGTAGCACATTTTTTGGTCTGGTATTTTGCGCATTTGTGTAGAAAGGAAATGAGGCAAGAGATGGGGATGGATGGAGGATGTTGAACATTGACTAGTTGTTCGCGGTACAGGACCTACTGGAGTCTTGACAGTCAAGAAGCCCCTTGACTGAGAACAGTTCCCAAGTGTTAGTCTGTCTAGGACAGTTCATTGGATCTCTATTGTCCCAGTGCAGCTGGTAACATCACCCCCTTTCATTCTCAGCAATGGCCCAGTTGGGGTGACAAGATTTTGTGTATCTGAGTGTGTGTTCCAGTGCAAACAACCAATTAAGGGTCCAGATTCTCTGGTAACCTAACCCTTGCCCAGCTTAAGGTGTACTCTGGGGAGCCTGGCACCCAGCACACCCCAGGCTGTGAAATGCACCAGACAACCCAGCAATGCTCCCTTTAGTGAATACTATGACAAAAAAGAAGAAGGAGGAGGAGGTGGTGGTGGTGGTGGTGGTGGAGGAGGAGGAGGAGGAGAAGGAAGAGGAAGAGGTGGAGGAGGACCATTTCTGTGTCTCAAAAGAAAGGGTGGAGGATGGGATTCACAAATAATAAGCCACCTTAAAGACTGCTAAAGACACCAAGGGAAGTGCATTCTGCGTCAATAAGCACCTTTGGAGGAAGAAAAGCACAGCCATCCAACGTGAGGGCTGTGGGAGAGGGCATCTGTGCAGGAGACAATGAGCCTTTTTTTTTTGTCTCATTTAATTTTTTTATAAACATTGTCTCTGACAAGGACACTCAAAAATACATCTCCATCATCTTCCTTTCTGGTAATTATCTCCCTAAATCAACACTGGACTGCCAGGATCAAGTAAATATTGCCATAGTAACTAAAAGCATTTTTGGATGAAGGGAAGAATTTAGTCACAACACTAGCCCCTTTAAATAATGCTGATTATAGGGTGCAGTCTTTTGTTGGGATCTATTCAACATAAACTGAAAAATTTAACATTTTACTTCCTAGAAAAGAGGCTGGATAAACAAGCATATAATATTTGATAGGATGGTCTATCCTCTCCTGAATTCATATCAGAGGAACTCCAGGTTTAAATAATATATTAAACATAGTCTAAAATGCAAATGAAGTTTTTCTCAATATCACGGTTGGTGATTAAGAGAAAGTGTAAAGGGTTATGATAATTTTAAAGTATTATGAACTACAGAAAACAAATAAAAAGCATTTTCAGTGAATATGCTCAATTCATTGAACTATTCTCTCACTCCACTTAACTACCCACATGTGTACAATAATGATTTATAGACATTATACCTAATTATGCATATTTGGGCTGTGGTAGAGTGCTAACAAAAGCTCTAGAAAGCAACAATTACCTCTGTTGCTTAGCTACATAGTTTAAAATATTCCTATTAAGTGCAGATCACCAGAGAGGCGGGAGTGACAAAAATGCACGTGTGCACGACAATGCACTTCACTGTGCTGCTGCCAACTGCCAGCATTTTGGGTCATTTCCAGTTTACATAATTGCTTGGTTCAACTGTTTGTTATATGCTAAAAGAAAATATTTATTAATTATTCTTCAGAAAAAGAGGAGTCCTGCCGAAAGCCATGCCTACGTGCACTGCACACGGCAGTTTCCAGGACGGTCTGCAAACCTGCAAACCAACTTTCTGTGTATGTCTCTCTCCCCGGCTTTTGCTGCAAGTACAAGAAAAAAATTGAGTGAGCTTTTTCACCTGACAGATCTGTGACGAGACACTTGTCACTCCTAGCTTTGCAATGGGTTGCCTACTTCTTCACGGTAGTGTGTTTCTATTTTCCCTGGTGGCCTGGTGACTTATTTTGTGCTTTTGCCACTGAAATAACTACAAAAACTCTCCCTTTAAAGTCAGAGGAACCTAGGTTTGAGTGTGGGTTTGGCACTGGTCTCTGTCCAAATTCTGACAGGTCCCTTAACCTTTTTGATCCTGGCGTCCTCACTCATACAGTGAGGCACACTGTAGACCTCCCACAGGAACACATGGAAAGCAGGTGACACCCAACAGGTATTCATAATGGTGGCTCTCTTCCCCCTTCACTAGGTACTATTTTAGATGATAGCAAAGGCAGAGGATACACGAGGCCCTCCACATAAATGAGGTGGGGCTTGTTTTTCATTTAGAATTAACTAGTGAAATTGAACCCTGTGAAGGGGCTCAACTGCAGTGCAAAGAAGGTTCAGCCTGGGTTACCAACCATCACATATACTGTAGCAAAGCTTGTCAGCTGTCCTGGAAAACTAGACAACCCATGCACAATGCAGAGGGAAAATCTCCATGGCTTTGAGGTCCAGGAACAAGGGTCATGTGGTTGGCTCTGCTCCACCTGCCTGTGTGACCTTGAGAAGGCCCATGTCTTCTGAGTCCTGGGTCCTTATGTTTAAAATGAGGATGATCCAATGATCCAATGATTGCATGATCCAATAACATCCTAGGACAATAAACTGACATGTTCCTGGCATGGTGTTCAATTCTTTATTTTGTTTAATCTTCACAATAACTACAAGAAAGGCATTTCAAAAATCACTTTCCAGAAAGGAAACTAGGGTTCTAAAGAGCTAAGGGCTTGCTCACAATCACACAGCTAGCCAATGGGGGGCTGAGATCCAGAACCAGGGCCACGTGGCTCCCAGCCCCTCGCCCGTCCCTCTGTAACAGCTACCCCTCCATCCCACAGCCTAGGAGTGTCATGTAGCATGTTTGATGTTTACAAAACACAGCAAACTTTAGAAGAAACTGTTCAGGATACTAGTAGCCTATTATTTTCCCAGATTTGAACATTTTCAAGAATGAATTTATAGAAAGATATTAGAATACCATTGACAGCTAACTTGCAATGAATAAACAAAGACCCCCCCAAAAGCTAATACAATAATAAAACAAAGACTAGCAAATAGCCTCACCTCTACTTTCTCAATATCAAAACGATATAAGTCAGGAAATTCCTCAGGTCCATTCCTTGAGCAGCCAGAGATTTGGACAGTTACCAAGGACAGCAGCCCTTCCTCAGTCATGAGTGATGTGGTTACGGTTGAAGGGACACTTTAATAAATGTTTTTGCCTGATATGTAAAAGGTCACATTTGTTTATTTGCTTTAAAACAAACTCTCTACTCTGAGGTACTGGGAAACCCACAAGGTCTATATCACGGACTCTTGCAGCTACAGAAGCTGTTCTGTGTCAAAACAATTTCAAAGCAATCCTCTGAAATCACAACATATTTTGAGTTTGACTTCTTTAGTATAACTTGATTTTGTTATGACGTTTTTGTTCTTTTTCTATAACTATCGAAATTATTTGTATGGGTAGATTAGTTTTCAAGGCCTCCTTAATATGTAAATTTTGCTGGGAACAAAAGTCTTAGAAAAATAAATTTGTCTTTCAAAGTTCTATAATTGCAGTGGTTTGCCTCTTATTTGCTACTTACTGAGAGATAATGTGTGTTAAAAGTCTTATCTCAGCCCCTTGCACTGCTATAACTGTGACATTTCCTGGAATCAGGAGCATGTGGCTATAACCTGGGGATTCCACAGGGGGTTAATCTCACTTCAAGGTCACCCTTCTCTTCTTTGTCTGCATGGGAAGGCCTGTGCTTCTCCAAACAACTGGAGTCTTCTCTGCCTCAGTGAAGGCGCATCTGCACGGCTGTGTCCATGGCCCTTGAGCCCACCTGCAGCCCTTTGAAAGACAGCCAGTTGAGGGTACTGGGTGTAGTTTTGCCATTAAATGGATACAAGCTCATTATCTGAGCTGTAATAAGCACTCTACCCCCTCTTCCATACCGGAACTGTCCACTGAAGACACAACTGGGCACACACCTGGCCAGATAAAGATCTTGGAGTACCAACAGTAAATGAGACAGGGATGGAAAGTCCTTACTTGGGCACCGACTTAGCTCTCCTTCCTTCTGGAGGGTGGGGGATAACTTGCTCAAAGGACTCAAGACAGACAACTTAGAGTTTTGCTCTTTTGACCAGAGATAGGAGCATCTGTGACCTGTCATTTCTGGAAATGTTGATTTAATGTTGCAGAAACTTTGCCCAGTCTGCTTTCTGAAGGTAGTCAGAGCTTGGGGAGAATTAGATTATGAAGCATGGTTAGCTGGGAAATAATTATTTTGCTTATTCTTCAATTGTTTCCTAATTATGTCCTTTTCAACATTTACAAGCTGCATTACCTTAAGCATTAAATCTCCTTGGTCCTTAATGACCATATCTGTACAAGTATGTCCATATCATACATGGGTAGATTAAGTGATATAATTTATGTGCCAAAATATGTTAAAAATTCAAAAATAATGGCCTCTACTGCTAGAATTTCAGCATATTTATTGTGATTAGTAGTGGTTCTAGTACTAAATATAAAAGATAGGTAATATTTGTGAACCTACAAATAGATGTCCATTAGTGCTTATGACTGAAATTTTAACTGAGTATATTTTTACAGTATATTTTCTTGGTTAATACAATGATCATCTATAATGATCACACGACTATAATGGAGTCGGTGGGCAGATATAGTCCAAGTCTAACCACAATGATTCAAGGACTTTCTAGATTCAATCTGCAATTTTCATGAATCAACAAAAATGTAACCAGCTTAAGGAAACAAAAAAGTCAAAGATGGTTATAATTTACAGATGAGCCATAAGGCTTTAAGCCATATGTTAAACATAGAAAAGTTGGAAAATGTACTTAAACACTGTCAAATCAGAACACAACTTTGTTTTAAATACAAAATCTCAAATTACTTGCAAAGCAAGATTATTGAAGATCTACTGATTGTGATCTGAGATTTGTGCTCACTCAGTCCACATACTTTTACATCTTTTCTGTTGACACCTATTGATATTATTATAATTCTATATAGAATAGATATTTATAATCTAAAACTTGTTGACTTTGGTATGACACATAATTTTTTTTTCTCAAATAACAATTAAGTTAGTATATTTTGATTCCTATAAAGTCACATTTAGAAAAAATGTGTGTATTTAATAGTACATATGTACACCTAATTTCATTTTCTAATAAGTCAAGCTTTAGGTTTCTATTCAGTTTTTTTTTTTTTTTCAAAAATTTTTTAGATATTTTGCATGTCCCTTAATTTTAGCCTCCTGCAAAAAGTGGTTGGTGATATTCTGACTCCTGGAGGTACTGTGACCCCAGGGACCAATGGGAGTAACTGAACAGGGGAGAAACATCTTAAAATTGTAACTATACATAACAGCATCCAAACTGCATTTAATGAGTGAGTGAGGAATTGAATTCATGAATCATAATGTGTGCTTATAGGTAAATTAGAATATTTATTTTGGAAATAATGGGTACAGTGATACATTTTCTATATCATTGCCCTACTGAAGGAGATACTAGGCTGCTATCTTTATGTCCCGTCTGCACTCCATTGCTATAAATATTTATTTTAAAACTGTTGAAAATATTAAGGTCACACTCCACCTGTATTGGCCCATGTTGTTATCATCAATTATATTTTGAGGGTTAAATAATATTATATATGTTTATAAAACAAAATAAATGTTTAATTCGTGTATGTTATACCTTAAATATTTTAAAGCTTAAATATGTCCTCTTATTTTGAAAGGTTCTTTCAGGCAGTAGATAGCCACCGTATTTGGGAGTCAAGGTATTCTTCAACTTTAAGGGTTAATATCTTTTATATTCTTCAAAAAGAGGCACAGTTTAACCTTGCACTTTGAAACTGGACCCAGGGCAAGAACTCTCTGGTACTTATTTTAGACATACCATACAGATAAAAATCAGCCCTAAAAAATGGATTCTGAGTGAAATAAATGTTTAATTTTGCTTCCAGATTGGAACACACAAGCTGTATGTGTTTTGCATAAGCTAAGACTCAGTCTTTGGTACCTGAGAGTAGATAAAGTTTGGACCACTCCTTGCTACCTGTGGTAGTCTGAGCATTGGTCTCCACGAAGCCATCGTCTTCCCTGGCCTGGGGCCTGGCGTCCTGCCCTTCCGTGCCGTTCATGTGTGGGCTGTAGTGCCTGGGCTTCATCAACAGGGACTTTCTCTTGTTGACAGGGACACCCGAGGCCTGCTCTTCAGTTCTCCTCTTCTTCGTCATGGAGCAATCGTATGCAGCACTATAGTGATTGAGGCAAATTAAGAACATGGTAAGACAGTTTATTGCCATTTGCCATTTGACTTTCATGACGTATAACCCAAAGTCTGTGAAAACTTGGAACTAAAAGTTTAGGGTTTGTTATTGGCATGAACAAAAGCAGTCCATCCATTAAATCAATTGTGGATTCTATTTCACTGCCCATCAGATGAGTTAAAAAAAAATTCATCCTTAATTCTGAGTAAACACATGTTAATCTCTGTGTTGCGTGGCACTACACTAAATACCCAGGAAAGGATGAAACAAGATTTGCACTGGTTTGCTAATCCTAAGAAACAGCTAATGTGAAAGATATACCACTGGATACAAAAATCATGTCCAGTATGGATAAATTGCAAGGTTTTTCAATAGTTGTTTGCAACCCAAACTGCTTATCTCTGCCACAGTTGCACCTCAAACTTGAGATGCCACATCCTGAACTTTGACTTGAAAGAAAGGAGCATAAAGGGGGGCGCAGTTATGAACATTTAACCAACCTATCTCTAGAACCACCCCACCCCCTTAAAAAGGAAAAAGATGCTACATGGCATTCTATTTTTTTATTCTCACATATTTGGCACACAGAACAAACACATAAAAGGAGAAGAAAAAGATTGGATTCCACAAAAATGGACAATTTATTCTTACTTCGACTTTCATATCATTTTATTTGAAAATGCTTCTGAGGGTGACCCTTTCAAAATAGCTTTCCTACATACAGCTCACTCACATTCAACGTGGACTACTCTGTGCACTGACGTTAAGACAAACATCCTCTTTGCAAGATCCAGGAAGACCAGAGGGTTTAGCTAACAGTGAGTCTATGAGAAATATTTATTAAATGCTCTAGAAACAAAAATGCAATAGCTTTAGATCTAAATATCCAGAACAGAGAATCCTAGACTCAAAAGCAATATATTACTTATTCCATCACTAAAAAAAAAAAAAAAAAGATTAAGTGCCAGTAATATTACTAAATAAATAAAGGCCTGAAATTGTTCTCTTAGAAACATCAGTGTAAAGATGGTAATCCATTCATGATAATTATTTGATTATAGTCATACATGAATCCTTGAATTTAGAAGAGTAGATTTAAAAACTTCAGAGGAAATAAAAGTGCTATTTCTTCTAGGCAAAAAAAAAAAAAAAAATCTGGAAGGAAAGATCATTCAAGAGGGTTAAAAATCTCTCAAAAATAGATTAAAATAGAAGAATTTAAAATTATTTTGAGGAAGAGAAGAATGTAGTTCCTAAAAAAGCTAATGTGCTTCTGTAAAATGTTTCTTATGAGCCCAAATTTAAAATGACCATGTAAAGAAGGTGGAGCAAAAGATAATAGAACCAGATGGTCATGAAAGCAAACACATGTCTTTATAACAAGCCTGCAGCAAAAAACAACAACAACAACAACAACAACAAAAAAACAAAAAAAAAACCTTACATGGCCTGAACCTACTGATTTGTCAAGGAAAACAGTTTATAACGTGTGGTTATGATATAATGAGAGCAAGCACAGAGACACAGAACTACCCTTACACTTGTATTCTTCGTCAAGGAAATTGACCTGAAGGAAGAGGGACAGAAGAAACAGGGACAGAAGAAACATACCAAAGGGAATAAATTTCCTAGGTATGTAAAAAAGAATTCAAGAAGTTCCCTAAACTACTTAAAGTGTCAAGTGAATTTCCATCAAAGACTCTCAGAATCTCAGAGAACTGCTCGTCATGAGCTAGAGTACTCAGTTGTCTGCCATAGCAAACAGTCCACACTACTGTTCTCTCGATTTGTATAAAAATCTCCAATAGTATACAATTCTAGATCAGAGTGTCTTCAGTTATCTTATAGATCAAGTTTCCCAATGTATAGATGAGTGTCTAAATGTTAAATACATTGGCCAAGTGTAACATGTAATGTGCCCAGGCAGAGATAAATAAGCTTTATAAACAAACAAACAAACAATGCTCAGAAAAAATACAAGACCATTAAACAATTATCTCCAACTAAGAAGGTTTATAGAAAATGAAAGAGAGTCCTAAAAAATGGCATTCAGATATTAAAGTGGTGATGGTGGTGGGGGGGGATTCTAAAAACCAATTTAAGCGTAACAATGGAAAGAGGCTGAGAACATTCATGGAGATGAAGGTTTGCTAGTGCTGGAAACACTGATTAAGGAGACGAAAGAGACGTGGGGTGGTGGGGTGGTTAAAAAGAACTGTTCAGTCAGAAAAGTGTCAATTTTTTCTTTGATGGTTGAGGTGATGAATGACTTGTAAGATCCTTACAAACTTTGTCTTGTTAACCTTATTATCTACATTTACTTATAAAGACAAATTACATTATCCAAATCACATATTCAATAATTGGTGATGCTGGTATTTGAATTCCAGTCCGTGGGTCCCAAGGCTCATGCTCTCTCCTGCATGTTGCCAAGTCAGAACAATGAATTTGGGTAATTTCCATATGCACTTGACAATTGGGTAAAATAGTGCCTGGGTAAACCAGCCACCTCTCTAACTGGAAGGAAGCTGCCTATCACAGGGCGTTGCCTAATGCTTTGGGTGCAGATATATTCGATGTTCGTTAGCTCTGGAGATACTAATGATTTACAGCAATGAAAAACATGTTGCAAAATATAATTAAGGCACCCAAAATGTCCATAGCATGGAGCAGTAGAATGAAACTAATAAGGTGCTATTTAATAGCAATAAAAATAAAGTTTAATATTTGGGTCAAAATAATAAATGTTCAAGGACAAAGAGGAAATATAAGGTTTCATAACAAGTACAAATTTAGCTTAAAATAAATTTATTGTATTTGATACACTGTGTATGAAGTTCCTTAAGTAATATTAGCTGTGTAATCTGTAACAAATAATTAAATTTTTTGGAACACCAAATTCCTTATCTATCAAACAAGAATAACGATTTTTATATCACATGTTATAGATAAAGAGGATAACATCTGTACTGGGAAGGACAAAATAGGTCCAGATAGAACTGTTCTGACTCCCAGATCAGTGCTCTTTGGACTCCATCAACATCAGGCTGATGTCGCCACCATGCAACATTACAACTCACTCCCTGACACACTGTGCAGATTTATGCACGCTTATATGTCCATAAATGCATTTTCCTTTTTTACATATTATTTATATTTACATAAATTACATTAGATTTATACATAGCATTTGCTTTAAATCTCACACTCTGTGCACTTCTCCACTGCAAAGCAGCCATGGCCCAGGCAGCATTCAGAACTAAAATGAAAGGCTTTATAATAAATATTACCCTTTGTGTCTGCATGGAAAATGGTCCCTTTCCCTAGTTTTCCCCGAGGGCACACTATTTTGGCTTTATTGTGACACTTCACTGTGACACTGCGATGAGGGAAAGCCATGCTTTACATGTCACTGAAAGAAATGCCACAAAATGCTAACATATCTTCTCAAGGTTGCCAGAAATAATTTCCACTGGGTTGTGTTTTCCCATCTGCAGAGCTCTGAAATGTTAAGGAAATAAATGAGCTCTATTATCTATATTTTTCGAGTAGATGAGCAAGAAAGAGAAAAAATACCCCTGCATTTATTGTTCTATTCAATCAAACTGTTGCTTTAAACATCCAGAGTCCTCCAGGGAACTTTATCAATGTACCAAATACCTTTTAATGCCATATTTCAAATCTGTGGTTTTGACTTTATTAAAATATCTTTAAAATATCTGGATTTTTACCCAAGAAAAATGTTTGGTTACATATTTGAGAAATGCTTCCATTTAGAAACTCAAATTCTAATTTGAAATGGTATTCCCTTTGATGACAACACATGACTGAAATTTTATTTAACAAATGATTGAGGATAAGAAAAATTAGATAACATTAATAATAAACTCCGTGCTGGAAGTATCTTTAGAAGTCAAATTCATTAACTTTTCAGGTTTCAGAAAAGAGTACAACAAATTAGGGAACTATAAACCTTAACATCTGTCCAATAAGCACAGGGCTCCAGAACGGTTTTTCAGTTTATTTTCCACAGTAATAAATTCTCAGTGCAAGTTACCAGATGATATGTAACACATTTAAAACTGTAGCTTCAGCAATAGATATATTCTGACAACATTTTCCCGAAAGAATATAACAGAAACATCATTTGGAAGTTATTAATCCCTGAGTCTAAAGAAACTATTTATGTGCTCCAATATTTCCATGGAAATTACATAGTGGGCATTTCTTCTGATTTCTTCTAATTAGGCAGAATACTACAGACATGTGGAAAGGGACCAGAAGGTATGAATTAGAATTAAACAGAAAATAAAAAGGTATATGATGATTGAAAAAGAAAAGCTTAAACTATTACTTTTTCAGAGATATGATTGTGTTTGAGGAAAACCCAAAGAATCTACAGACAAAACATTAAAATAAGGAGGTAACTTTAGAAGGTCACGGTAGAAAATTATCTGAATTTCTATAAATTAGCAATAAAATAATTTTAAAAATAATTAAAAAACAAGATCATTTATACTACATAAAAATAAAAAATTCCTAGGAATAAATATTAAAAAATGTGTAAAATGTATACAAAACATATAACATGGAGAAAAAGACAAATAAATGGAGAAATAGAAAATGTCTATAGAATAAAACACTTAGTATTGTAAAATTTTAATCCCCCCAAATTATCTATTAGATTGAATGCAGTCCCCCCAAAATTCCAAGAATAATTTTTTTTAGAAGTTAACAAGTTAATTCTAAAATTTATATGAAAATGAAAAGATCCAAAAATAGCAAAGATCATCTCAAAGAAGAACAAAGTTGAAAGACTTAGAGTCTTGGATGTCAAAGCTTATCATAAATCTGTGGTACTTTAAGATAGGGTGTTATTGGAGCAAGCGTCAACAAATAGACCAATGAAATAGACTAGAGAGAGGTTTCCTCTATTGGGTCCAGAAACAGACTCACACATATGTGATCAATTTATGAGAAAGTTGT